AACATTCATTCATCCCAAGCACTTACACAAGCACACACTCATTCAGACACAACAACAAATACGAAAATAAAAAACACACCCAAAATGAAAGGCGCCCACATTCACCAGAGAACTGACATCATGACCACCTAACGAGGGAGGGGATGGGGGACTAAACCAAAGAAAATGGGGACAGAAATAAAAGGGGCCAATGAGTATACATCCCCTAGCTAAGTCAAGTGGAATGAAGAAACAAAAGCAACCCTAAACAAAGGCAAAGAGCTCATCCAAACAGATGCCATGAAAGTATTTATAGAAAACGCACAGGGAGGAAGTAACTTTACAGCAGTGAGAAAGTGAGTGCAGCCAAGACACCAGATCAGGACCAATAATATTGCTGGATCTCTAAATATATAGCAGGAGCATCAGACAGTATGTGGTAGCAATATCTTAAACATGGGTGAATAGTAGACTTACAGATATGTAAGATGGATTCTGGAGAGAAAAATTGTCTCGCATAACACATTGAACCAACTTTGTTAGCAGCTTACCAAGCAATGGATTCAATATAGTCTTTCCACTTCATATCAGCCAAGAAGATCAGAAAGCACAACGAGTAAGTCTCCTGAGAGGCCACTTTCTGCCTTCCATCAGCCATGCTGATGGAAGGCAGAAAGTGGCCTCTGAGATGATTAATAAAGAGCATTTTAGTTTTGGAGGCAGGCCTATGTACTGAAGGCTTATGGCATTTTTATAAAGGGTCTGAAAAGCTTTGGGTAAACAAAAAAGAACAACTTTTTTTTAACAATACGGTTTTCCCTTTTGGGGGACGTGTAGGAAAAATATGATAAAGAATCGGTTTTCCTATTTTGTATATTTTGAATTTCTAAGGACACAATAAGTAACAACATTTCCAATAACATCATCTTTATATAATCAATAAGAAGTTTTCTTATACTACAGGTATAGGATAAATTTGTGAAAATTTGCTATATTTTTTGACCTCGTCTTATATAAAGTCACCTCATACGTGGAAATATATAGTATATATTTTTGTAAATTTTTGTTCTTTAATTGAAAATGTATATGTCTGTTATTTATTTAAAAGAAATCTTTTTGTAAAAAAAAAAAAAAAAAAAGCCTGTTTTTGTACATAAAACAATTCAGTCCACATAACTCTGTAAAAATCAGAAATCAATTATACACTTTATTGATATTATGAACATGATCCCCACTTCTAAAATGATTTAAAAAAAAAAAAAAAAATCAACATTTTTCTGACAGATGTCAGGTCTTAAAAAAGTTTAATGATGCTAATCTACAAAAAATACCCCCCCCCCACCAAACAAATTTTTTTTTTAAAATGGATCAGTTTATTTAAGTTGTGTTCTTTTTGGAAAGAAATGGATCCATCTCTCCTTATTGGTCAAGTTGGAAATTACTCCCTGCTGCTTGGTCCCGAGCATGGGTAAATAGCAAAGTAGTTGCATCCCTAGAGAAGGCTACGCTAACAAAAAGTGATAACTTGATAGTCACCTTGGCTGTTTTGGTTTGCTGTGCTATCAAGAAAAGCACCTAAAGAGTAAATTTGGTGTACACCAGGCGATCTTCACTTCAAACAATTCAGCAGCAGAAGAGTCTACAATAGAGAGACCAAGCAGCCGGCCCTGATTCTTACCAACAAGAACAAGATAAAAAATTTTACTTCATTTATTTTTCTAGCTTTCTTCTTTTACCCAGCCTGCTGAGCAGAAAATATAGACTGCATCACTTGCAGAGCAGTAAGATTACCCCCAAAAAAAAAAAAAAAAAAAAAAAAAAAAAAGAAGGGTGCTATCTACTTGCAATCTCAGGCATAGACAACTTAAGGTGAACCTATCTCCTCCTGTTGAGGGAAAGAAATTAAATAACAAATAAATAGTAAATAAAATTTCAGAATTTAGTAGGTGGAGACATTAGATGTATAGAATTCAAAGTAGACTTTAGAAGGAACCTAAGAAACCCAATCCTAAACTGGAAACAAGGGATAAACCTCTACTTCTGTTCAAAAAGGCCAGGGAGGAATGTGAACTGGACAATAGGTAAAACCTATCTACTCCTATTGAATATGTAAAGTTATTGTTTTTTGTATCTTGAGGGAGGGTTTATTATTTGACTGCTAAGTATCATTTTGAAATGTTGGAACTTGTTGATTGAGTGATTTCTGTTTTGAGGTTGTTTTAGTTTTCTGATGGTATTGATTTTTAGAAACCATGTCTGTCACAATTTCCAAAAAGTGTATTAAAAGTCTTGGAGGCAACATCTTTCTTCATCAACTGGAACTTGTCAATATCCATTTGAAACACAGAGTTTTTAAAAAAAAAATTCAGGTTATGCATTTCTGTGAGAATTTCCTTCCATGTAGGGAATTTGAAGTATTCCCTTTATTTTGATCTCTGGAATCTAGACATATTTGTAAAATGATAAATTGTTATATATTAGTGATTGTATATACAACACTGAACATTTTGGGATAGAAACAAATAGGAGTTTGGTGACTGCAGTTCCTTCTACAACATAGCATCGTTCTATTGCACTAAGAGTCTGTAGCAGAAAAACACAATTTACACATAGTTAGAGATATCAAATTAAAACCAAATTTATACAATTATTAGAAAACATACATCTCCAACAACACACCAATTTTCATCTAGCTAAGTTTCAAACATAACTCACTACTTTCAGTACGATTTTGAATGCATGATTTTAACAAACACTTTTGGACAGTAAATGGTACTAGAATTTACTTATTTGACTAACTCTGTATCCAACACTATTTTCAATCTTCTGTAACCAAATCAATTCATTTTTTTCACCCCTGTACAATTTCTTGGTAACGTTATTTTGAGAAAATTCTCAACATAACATTTTCTCTCGTAAGGGAGTATTTGTAGCAGAAAAACACACTTTACACATAGTTAGAGATAACAAATTAAAGCCAAATTTATACACTTATTAGAAAACATGTATCTCCAACTGCACATCAATTTTTGTCTAGCTAAGTAACATACATGCTGCACTATACTCAAAACAATTTTTAAAACAAACATAAATACACCAGAGTGCTGGCAATTATCGACACAAACTTTTGCTTGCCAGAGAGGTTTACAATTACGTCCACGCGTTTTCCTTAAATAGGTGATGAAATTCTCCGTCATCCTCTCTTTTCTATTTTTCTCTTACATGGTAAGATGTAAGTAGCACATGGAGAAAAGCATCCCCCACCGGGGAACGCACACACCATTCACTTCACCATCATTTACTTTTCTTTAGGACTGCTACTATATCAAACTTCCTACACACAATACAATTCTCTAGTTTCAATGTTTTCTTCTTTCATATTCATTGTCTTTGCCACATGCAACAATCTTCTTGTTATTGTCTATGTATACCTTTTACATACATTGTCGATTATATATATAGTTTTGTCATTACTTTATTCAGTTATTACTCAGACTCACATTCAAGTCTGCAATTATTGTTGTGGGAAAAATATAACAGGATTCCACCCAAAACACCATCAGCATCACCACCAGCATCACCAAAAGAAGGGAAGAATCAAGGGGGGAAAGTCTTTGCAGCAATAACCAAATGAACTTGGTTATTTTTGGAATAGTGTGCTGTATTGGGTTGGTACAGAGCCTTCTTCTATGTACTGTGTCTCTTCAGGACGTGGGCATTTATAGCTCTCCACAACTTCCTACCATTTTAAAAAGTTAAAAGTAACAAAATAAATAAAATAAAAACAAATCATGTGTTGTATCCCAATCTGCCTTGATCAATTTCTATTCACTCAGCAAACTAATTTTTCAAAATAATTCTTTGACTGGGCATCAAGTAGGCATTTTAAATTACAACTTCATTATGGGTTTAAAAAACTGAGGGGTTTGGATTTTGCCAGATTTTAAAGCAAATTTCGTGCAATAATAAACTTTTTTTTTTTTTACTCATTTTGAAAATTACTTGTTAAACTTTTAAAACTATATAAAACTAAAACTGTCTTTGTTTTTTAATAGAATCTGTTAATTTTTACGTTTAAGAGGAAAAGTATTTTTTGACAAAATAGGTTCTTATCCTGTACCTGTTAATTTTCATATAATTTTAAAATTTTATAAACCAACAACGTAAGAAATCTTTTCTTTTCTTTTTTTAATGCCTTTTACGATCTCTCTTCGGTTGAGTCATTAAAAAAAAAAAAAAAAAAAAAAAAAAACAAAAAACAATGATCCGCCTGCCTTTTAAAAATTAGATGAATTCATCTTCAAAAATAAAAGATGTGTGTAACCAACAAATGGTTGGCTTCGCCCGCATCAGGGTCATAAAAAAAAACAATGAAGTTGATTGAAACTAATCAAGAGACCAATAAAGTAAAGACAAATAATAATAAATAATAATGAAAGTTAGAAATTAAACTCAAAGTAAAAAATATTCAATCATCAAAAGACATGATGATATAAAAAGTGACAGTTTTCACTTTTAACCTGTAAAAAAGTAAAAACACTTTGTAACTCCCCATTTAGGCAAAGTACATATTTTTTTTAAAAATGCTTTAAGTTCAAACAACTGAAAAAAATTAATAATAATTAAATTATTATAATTAAACTAAATAAAAATAACTTAGGCATTTTCTTTTCTAAAAAAAAGTAGTAAATAAAGAATACTGAAAAAAAAATGTTTACTTCCTTAATTTGTAGGTCATTTATTTTAGGTTGCAAATTTAAATTTAGAAAACTTCTTTCTGTATTTTTTACTTTATTACTGATTTAAGAAAACTTAAAATTTTACGAATCAACAAAACAAAACACTTTTTTTTGACAGCACATGAATTATTAATTAGAACGAAACTTGACTTAATTTGCATAGGAGAAATAAATAAATAAATACAAAAATTAAATTAAGAAAGATTATTCACTTTTAGTTTCAAGACTTGAATTACAATATTGTTTTTTTTTTTAATTTTACGTAAGTATTTTTCTCCTTACTCTGAATCTAAACTCGCCAGGATATGAAGGCCTTTTAGCGTAAGGTATTCCCAAGTAGACATTAATCCTTCTGTCAGGGTAACGACGTTTATTGTGTACAGGGATTGTGAAACCGTTTACAGATCCATAGGGTAAATGAACAAGTGTATCGTGATTTTGTGGTCGGTAACGAGTTCTCTCTTGTTCTTCGTCACAGGTAAGGCCGACACACCAGTTGCTGGTCACTAAAAGATACAAACAAAAAAATCCAATCGCTGACCAGCAGCTAGGGCCAAATAACAGACAATTCATTTTTTTGTGCCCATCGCCGCCATTGTACTCCCGGAAGTATAAAATTGAGAATTATGCGTCACGTGATTTTCGTCCCTCAGGTGTGTCTCATCAGGTGTAACAGGTGTGGCAGTCGATTTTGATCGGGTTCAGGTCGTGTATTATTCGAGTAGTATCGTTAAGAAATGCAACGTATTGTAAATTAAAATTATTGAATTAACAATTAGACATATTTTTAGTGTTTCTATAAATAACGCCTGGGTAAGAAGAGCAAGGGTCACTTTGCCGTGAGCTTCGCTTAAATAGACTATTATTGCCTGTATTTCTAATCGGTTTTACTAGTGGCATTGCACCAACCAAACTAAGCTACTAAAGATTTTTATTTACATTAACTACTAATATTTACAATATTTTACATTGTTCGGGCTGTTGTCCTCACCATATTGTCATATTCACGACGTTTCAAACCGAACCTTTAATTTAGTCCACGGGGTTAGATTGTTTTTTAATTCCCCTTGATAACTCAGTTCTTCAAATTTTGTTCTCTCTGCTGACGCCAGGGATTGAACTCGCTACTGTTTGGTTGGATCAACCAATACTATCCACTGTGAACTTGGGGACAGTAGTAAGTGAATTTTTTGGACTTAAGTTTACCTTTTTTTTTACCAGAGCTTATAATACAATTTTTTTATTATTGTTTTTCTCTAGCTCTCTGAATTACTGGTTCCTAGGATTGCATTCATTTATTTATTTCTATAAATGATTTTTATAGAATAATAGCACTAGGTAGATATAAAAACTTAATAATAATACCTACCTAGTGCTGCAAGTACTAATTTTTATTCAATCTATGTAATAAATGCGAATGTCAGTTTATCACTGTGTCACACTTTTTCAATTAAAGGGACACAACTCTCTAACTTTCAATAGCTCACGTTGCAGAAAATTTGGATTCTCAAATTTTCATTACTGCGATTGTTTTCGACGATTTTTTTACCTGATCTTTTCCGACGATTTTTTTTTGTACGATCACAATTGTTATAACTTGGAAATAAATTTGGGAATAATCGAAGTTAATTGCGAAATCCAGCGAAAGTGACCCATGAAATAAAAATGATTTTTTGTACGGAAAGTAAGGACCTACGCACATCAAATTGTCTTTAAATTAAGTGGTGACAGAATTATTCTTGGACTTTTAAAAGGTAAGCTTAAATTGTGGCACCATTTACGAGGCAGAGAAAGAAAGAGAAAGAAAAGAAGGCAGCAAGAAATGCGAGACGGATCATAGGTGATAAGCGAACACATACACGGCTAAGAGGCAATAAAAAAAAAAGGGTTATTTTGATAAGTGGCAAATGGCGAAAGAGTGTCATTACAATGACAATGAGATTTGAGTAGGTAGGGAAGTGTTATCTAAGGATATGAAAACAAACTATTGGTACGGGAAGGCATCTTATTATCAACACAGACCACCGGCCAAGGGAAAAATTCAAGTGAAAATGTTATTTCGATAAGTGACGAAAAGAAACAGGCGACTAAAAAAGACTTTGGACAGATATGAAAATTAAAGGCCACCTACGAGTAATCGTTGACCGATTTTACTACTTGGCCTGCGCGAATGGAATTGTGTTATCAAGAAATGTTCGCCAAAGAAAGTCCACTTGAAAACGTTAATTTTGATAATTGACAAAACACAGGTGTAGCTACAGAGCCTTAGTTAGATATAGAAAATTAAAATCCCACACAAGCAGTCTCGCTAACTAAATTCTTTTCGACAAAACAACTTTTTGTCTGCGATGATAAATTTGTGTTATCAGGAATATGTGCCGAAGGAAAATGGGTGGGGACCCAGGGGTGTTTTTCTTTCTTCCTTGGAGACGTCAGACTGACTGAAAACTTGGGGATAATTCTTTTTTGAGGCCATGTTAAGAATACCAACCATCTTGATAAATTAGCGATAAAATACCTGACGTAAGCCACGTGTAGAACAAGAATTATGACCCCATTGTTCATATTTTCCCGTTGGTGACCAGAGAAATGATACGGCGATTAAGGAAGAAAAAGAAAAGCAAAAGATAATTTTTTTTTAGTTAAGCAAGGTATTTTTTTTTCCGAAACAAAGCCGCGGATTGTTCACGCCCGACTAAGACATCATTGGTCAAGTGGTGATCACGTGACGCACGAAGGAGGAGGAAAGATACCCGACCAAGACTGATCACGTGACGCACGAAGAAGGCTGTCTACGCCCCCATCCAGAGTATAAGTATGAGAAGCTGTTACGAAGAAGTGGGGAGGGCAGTTCACGCCCCTCAGAAGTATGGTGAGAAAGTGGGAGTGAGAAAAAGTTACCAAAACTGGAAAAGAGTGGAAAATCCCTAACCAGAAATAAAAGAGGTGGATATGTATTTAGAATTATCGAGAAACCCCCGGACGCCAACAGACCCACCCCGGTTTTGGTCGGAGTCAATAAAAGCCAGGCCCCAACAGGCAGAAATCAGTTCGGGCCCTGGCGGCAGAGATGAGTGTCCAGAGAGTTGGGCTCCAGTTTCCAGAGTTGAAGCCGCCTCTAGATAGCTGACCAAGATTCACGCAAAATTCCGAACTCCTCTTCAACCAAGAACAATTATTTTGAAGAGCGACTTAGGACCAGGCCACCGAAATAAGTTTTTTTCGACTTTCGTCCAAAGACACACCGAAACACAAATTTCTTAGAGAGCAGACAACTTGAAGCGTTAAAACTTGCCTAGCGAAAACGACGTGTCACAATCCACAGAACGGGTCGGGAGATAGATGCAGTCCTATGTATCGAACAACTAGACATAAAGTTTGTTACCTTTTTTCTTTGATACTTTGAACTTTTTGAGTTTTCATTTTCTTTTCTTTTATGCATATTTGTGTGTTATCACCCCCGTTGAACTCAATTTGCATTACGGCCCCAACCACTGTTTGATCTCGTCTGTCTAAGATCAATTCATAACGTGGGTAGGCAGACTGGAGATCAATGCAGTTACCTTGGTAACCAGGCGTTGGAAGCGAGTTGGGAACGACGAGGCTGATATCAAATCTAACCAGATTCCCACCCGAATCACCAAGAGGTTAGAACGTCACATTTGGGTGCCGCGACCGATACCAAGCCAGTTGGTCGTCACAGGACGAGACAACACGACTGACGCGACAGGCGGACGTCACGTTTGGAGCAGCGACACCCGGATGGAGCAGCGAGGAGCGAACAGCTGGCGCCGCGGCGAAGACGTCACAAGTGGTGCTGTTTGAGGACGTCACAACTGGCGCCGTGGTAGATCAGGATAGAACGTCACAGTTGGCGCTGCGACCGGGGGGACGACGTCACAAATATTAATGCAGTACTTAAAGGCAGCGATCAATGATCGCTGAATGCTTTCTATCAGTTCTTCATCCTGAGCTGATTGTTCTTCTGTAGTTTATTGTTACCTATCGCATACAACAGCACTATGTCTTGCAAAAAGAAATATCTCCGAAAATAAAGGACCAGATTGCAATCAAAAGAGCCAAGGCTGCAGCGAGGAAAAGAAAGTCCCGTGCAAATGAAAACCCAGATCAAACGGCAGCCAGGAGAGCTTCCAATACTGAGAATACGCAAAGACTTTGACATTCAAATTTCTTAACAAGTCGAGCGCCCAATTAAGAAACCTCTGCAAGAGCTAGCTCAAATGCCGCCCGATAAGGCGGCTTTTAAGCTATTATCAAATATTTTAAAATCTGTAACAGAACGCTGACAATAAAAATGCATATGGCAAAAGAGTACAGTTATTTTTTTGTTGGAAAAAATGTGTATTTCTTAGTAATTATAGTGTACAATATTATTAGCAGTGGCACGGGAGTTCGCTTCTGCCGGGGAAGTTGAAATTAATATTAACTCGAGTCCCAGAGAAGGACCATCCACCCAGGCAGTACCTCTCCTTCGGGAGGGGAGATGGGGTTGTAGGAAATTCAGTCGTCCAGGTTTTTATATTAAAAATCTGAACGTCCGAATTCCTAAAAATAAAGAAAACATGATCTTATTCGTGTTAAATAAATAATTTGTATTTACAAACATATATACATGGATTCAAAAATAGTCAAAAAGGAATAAAAAATAGTCTTTAGTTGAGTAAAATCTTTGGGTGGTTGGTCCACAGGAAAAAAAAAACTGTGGTTTAGAAAAGATATTTAATAACTGGTCCACAGACAGGAAAAAAAAATCTGTGGTCAGAAAATACTTTTATCATCGTTAGCGAAGATTCATTGACTGTCTTTGTTGTTGTTGGACATGGTACTTTTCAAGATTCACTAACCGTCCAAGCTGTTGTTGTTGTTGTTGTTGCTGATTCGTTTGACGTCACCGATACATGTTTCTTGCAACACCCTCTAGAGTGGAGAGCTATGTAGCTACGTCTTCTCTTCGGCTTGAGTTTTTATAGGAAAAAAAATCCAGAAAGTAGGATCCTGTTTTAGTTTTTTGATATCAAATGGTGGTGTTAGTTTCTAACCAATAGACACTTTGATTTAAACGGTGTTGTGGAATCTTTTTAGTATGCTTGTAAATATTGTCTGTTGTTGGGTAGTGTAAAATAGAGTTGTTCGGGATAATACGTATAGCTTATCAGAAAGCTTGAATAAACCCGATATTTACCCGAGCTTCCCACAAAGGGGGATGTAGCAGAAGGCCAGTTTTTAACGTGGGGCTTTCCAACCGCGCACATTCGGGCAAAAAATCCCCGTAGACCCCGATACACGGAGTTGGGTAGCTGTCTATTTTTTCCCAGACGAAACTCTGCCCGTAGGCATAGCCTTATCTGAGTTCCTGTCCATCCGAAAGCAGATAGTCCGACAAGCTCAAAGCTCGACATTTATTGTGTATAAAATACAATTGTATGAAATAAAAGGGGAATGGGTTGAGGCTGGTCGATACAAACTATCTTACAGATATTTATTGTATCAAATAGAATAATGGCGCAAGGCCGAAAAAGGGGAATGAGTTGAGGCTGTTCTTCACTATCTTA